ATATTTTCTTGTGCACCCGTCAAAACCACATCTGACTGCAAAGGAAGGATCACCAACATGAACCCTGCTGAAGTGCGTTAGCAGTACTGTGAGAGTTAAGAGGCAATGTCCACAAGAATCGAACAAATGGTGGCAAGGGTCAAAAAATCAAATTCGCTCTTCTTTTGAAGTTAGATAGGCCATTATTAGATATGAATCMCTGGGTAGTTGGTTTTCGAAAATATTATTTTATTTCCGAGAAAACGGCCACAGAAGAGGTTCGACCGAAACCCAAGCAAGAGACGCTCAAGAGGAGTGAAAATGGACAAAATTTGAACAGAGCGCGCGTAAAAAATAAACCATCTATGACCATTTTTGAACTTTCTTCTTAATGTATCACCCTTTTTCGTTCATTGGACTGGATTTCAAGCGTATTGGGAAAGGGACGAATTTTTAGCGAGGGAAAATAGGATGCCTATGTTTACATATGCTAATTAGTTGCCTCAAAAGAAAAAAAGATTTAACTATGGGCAAATTCTCTGATTGAAATAATATTTATGCTGCAACTTGAAGAAGAATAGATCTTTTCAAAACTTTAAAGATTAATTTGGGGAAATTAATTCTGACTGCATAGAAACCTGTTGAATTTGGTTGAAATCATGCGAAAATCACGCTTCTCGAATCAACGCAGGACTAAGGATTTTCGTAAAGATTGCCATGAAATTAACCCTGAAAACTAAGAAATTAATGTTTGTGCCGTTGTTTGAAAGTTCAGTGTGGTTTGGTAAATTTAAGCTCCATTGGAAAGGTTTTGGGATTGTCGGTACTGATGAGCAAAAAACGCGATCTTTGGTGATTGCGTGACCGAGGTTCCACTTTACGTTTAGAAGTTTATTACTGTATAATTCACGCTAAAAATTACGATAGAAAAGTTCTTTAAATAGCTTTATAAACTTATTTTCCCCAAATAAGATTTGGGTCGATGAAAAAGCCGAAAGAAAAACCGTAGCTTATCGTGATGTTTAGAAGTTAGAATGCTTCCTAAATGTGACATTGATTCACTGCCATGTTTAATTCGTTTGGTCAATGATTCCTTCATTTAACTCCAGTAGGATATTTACATAGTTTTTCCATCTATCAAAATGTTTGTTTACTAGAATTACGACTAGAAATGTTCTTTAAGTCAGTCCATGAAGCAAAGCCAAATTAGAGTTGAATTTTGTGACAAAGGCACCCGGCCTTGGGCTGGTCCCACTGGCCCGTTTATTTCGATTTCATTTGACCATTTTTTTCCAAATTTTAAAGGTCAATGTATGGCTTTTTTCGTCAATATAAAGATTTCTAAGATGTCGAGTTCAAATAGCAATAAAATTCCTTGTATTATTTATTTAAATTAAGAATCTTGACACCTGCAATCTGCTTACTACTTGTTTTGTTACCCGGAAACATCTCCCCATATATCTTTCTTGGCTATATTCGGTATTACTTTGCGAMTTCACTTACTCTTCTCTGTACCAACTTCAATTTTGCCAACGAGTAACGCCGTATGAAAATCTGTATGAAAATCTCTTACATGTTTGTTTTTAAACATCATGGTTTTAGTGTGTACGACACAACCAAACTCAACAACATTTGCAATCAGTCGCTCTAAAAATCATTGACCTTGGGTCAAGTAATCATTAGGCGGCGTAATTTATGCATATGTAAACTAACTGTTGTAACCACTTTTTTATCGACCCAAAACTTATTCGACTAAAACAAGATTATAAAGCTATTTAAAGAACGTTTCTATCGTAATTTTTAGCGTGAATTTTACAGTAATCAAACTTCTAAACGTAAAGTGGAACCTCGGTCACGCAATCATCAAAGATCGCGTTTTTTGCTCATCAGTACCGACAATCCCAAAACCTTTCCAATGGAGCTTAAATTTACCAAACCACATTGAACTTTCAAACAACGGCACAAACATTAATTTCTTAGTTTTCAGGGTAAATTTCATGGCAATCTTTACGAAAATCCTTAGTCCTGCGTTGATTCGAGAAGCGTGATTTTCACATGTATTTCAACCAAATTCAACAGGTTTCTATGCAGTCAGAATTAATTTCCCCAAATCAATTTTTAAAGTTTTGAAAAGATCTATTCTTCCTCAAGTTGCAGCATAAATATTATTTCAATCAGAGAACTTGCCCATAGTTAAATCTTTTCTTTTTTTTTTGAGGCAACTAATTAGCATATGTAAACATAGGCATCCTATTTTCCCTCGCTAAAAATTTGTCCCTTTCCCAATAMGCTTGAAATCCAGTCCAATGAACGAAAAAGGGTGATACATTAAGAAGAAAGTTCAAAAATGGTCATAGATGGTTTATTTTTTACGCGAGCTCTGTTCAAAGTTTGTCCATTTTCACTCCTCTTGAGCGTCTCTTGCTTGGGTTTCGGTCGAACCTCTTCTGTGGCCGTTTTCTCGAAAATAAAATAATATTTTCGAAAACCAACTACCCAGGGATTCATATCTAATAATGGCCTATCTAGATTTAAAAGAAGAGCGAATTTGATTTTTTGACCCTTGCCACGAATTCTTGAATTTGTTCGATTCTTGTGGACATTGCCTCTTAAAAAGGCAATTCCATTACATAAGGAACATTTCCAGCTCATTTTTTTCGCCAACTAAAACCCGGGTCCACATCTAGGATAAATGGGAAGGACAAAAATTTTCCAACGCTCCAGAATTGCTAATATAGAATAAATGTCAGCCAATCAGAATTTAGGTGAGAACGTCTGTCACTCAAGTGCTCCACCCTAAAGAGCCAGGACAAACCRATCAGTAATCGGCTTTCTTTTTGCTCCAACAAGTAACGAGATGGCCGGGGTTTCTATGGAAGATATAGTTGGCTTAGAAAGCGCGGATTTGGAAGAAAAACTAAGGCAGGCAGGGGTGCCTGATTCATTGAATGCCTCAATTAAAGRTAAAAACTTTCAAATATGTTCGAGAACTTTTTACTTTAAGTAACGCCCGCCCTTTTCGTGTTTACCAAAACCGTTCTCAAATCTTATCTTTTTTTCTATGTAGCAAAAAACATAAATGGTAGTCTGTTGGCCGTGTTCCAAGAAGAGGATATTGAAGCAGAATTTAAGAGTGATCATATTCAGAACAGAGTGCATTTGAGGTCGTTTCTACGCACCTTGGTAAGCAAAACTTAACTTATTTTGCATGCGCAAATGTTGTMTAAATTGACATAAAATAAAACCAAAATATTTGTTATGTACTGTGAATATATTTTTCAGTTAAATTCGATTTTGTACGGGTCAAAACAGCGCTATCAATGTTGCATTTCAAGCAGTTCCCAATTTCTGTCGATATTTGTACCGTGAGAACGCTCTATTCTGATTGGCTTGTATTTTTGTCGACCTAACGAGCAACACGAGTCGTCTAGATWAAACAGATAAGCGTCTGTACTCTCTATCTATWTWTTTTTTTCTTTCCAATTTTTAGCGTAAGATTTTAATTTCGGACACTAGTTTACTAAGTGAATTAAGTAAATAATTTATTTAACTACAAATTTAGTCCATATTCTCAATAACCTATAATTTTGAAGTGTTGRTTGTTGTTTTGGCGGGAAAATGATGTTACAAAAATAGCGCTAAATACAGCTTTTCTTTGCAGAAGAAAACTAAACCATTTGTTATGTAAAAATCGAGTAATGATTTTTGTGAAATAAAATCTAAAAATATAAGCCTAAGCTTAAATTTCCGGCATTTTATTCCTTATGAAGGTTTTGGCGCCAAATTCATTACGTCATTTTCCCGCCAATGCTCCAAAACGAAAGAAAACATTTTTTTGGTGGTACCCGTTTCTTGAATGATTTGCAATAAACGTAATTAAAGACACAAAATCCAAAACTTTATGCGTTAGGACTACAGTAAGCTAAATACATTTACAGTCMTACATTTGTTCATCAAATTTGAGGGTCTTATGCATGTTATGTTAAATTTTAGCGATGTCAAGGTCAGTCAAACAAAAATATGGTAAGGAATTATCAAAGTAATGCATGAGTGATTTGAAAGCCCTTGACCCCTCCCCCCCATTTCTGGCCTTACAGGGCAAGACTGGGGCTTTAGCAAGGAATTCACTTTGTTTGGGTGCCCTGGTAGGCAGAAGATACACTCCTTTTTATAGCTTTGCATCAAGCCCTGGTCACTGAATTAGCTAGTGAGTCACTTCTGGTCTTCTAACTTCTTCCTCAGGACCAGGGACTACACCTCTCACTTTGTCCTTGATGACCGAGGTGTTCACTGGCTTTCACAAAAAC